AGAGAGGAAGCAAGCAATTGCTGATCATGTAGACAAGAGAAACAGACCCTTTCAAGTTGGAGAACTACAAACAGGTGACCTTGTTCTTTTGGAGAAGAGGAAGGAAAATAAGTTAACACCAGCTTATGAAGAGAATCCATACAAAATTACAGCCCGGTATGGAGACCAGCTTCACTTGTGTTCACCTCAAGGGGTTATCTGCAAGAGGAACATTGGTCATGTTAAGAAATACAATCAACCCAACCAAGCTGAACCAATTGAAACACCTGTAGAAATACCAACGGGGGGATGAACAAGACCATCAACCTACTGCAGAGCCACAGTCGTTGAGTCCCAAGGAAAGCCAAGAGATGGCAAACCAAAGTCCAAGTGAGGATAGTCAACCTGTACCTGCACCAAGCAGAAGATCAGAAAGAGTCACCAAGACTCCAGACCATTTTAAAGACTTTGTTATGAAATAGAAGATACTTATACCAAGGAATCAAGGGAACTTTTTGAACTGTTGTTATTGATACCTTTATTACTATGGAACACTGAACTTTGATATCCTTATTATTACCATGAAACATTGAACTCTTGATATTAACATTGATTATGTTTTAGTTATATTGGAAACCATGATGTAATTTTGTCATATGCATTCCTTTGAAGAAAAGGAGGGAATGTAGTGTTTCGGGTTACCTGTGTAATCACGTGACAAGAACGTTGAGTAAACGTGTGTTCAAGCGACTAGTGTGTTGTGTAGTTTGTATCCTTTGTGGAACAGTTTTATAGCCTTAGTGGCACATTACAAGTGCTGTGTTGTTCCTCCACTGTGTCATGAGTGCTGTGTTGTTCCTCCACTGTCTCAGTGCTTGCTGGACTTTCGTGTTTCATCATTCGCTGTTTCATCTTTGTATTGTACTGTATACCCACAAGCTGTTAAATAACCATAATAAAAGTCAAAGTGATTGAAGCAAATGTGCATTCAGGAGTGTATCAGGTGATTAAAAACGGAACCGCTGACCACATTCCAGGAGATTGTTGATATTACATTACAATAAGTAAAATCATCATATACAACCATATCTTTGTCTAGCCCTAATAGAACATGTTCTTTTATGACTGAACGTTTAATGTAAACACAGACTTTGTGCTCCTTGTTTTTTCTTGAGGAGGGTAACTGCACATTTGAGGACATACTTGCATCTCGTTTGAGAAACCATTGTGACGTATTTGTTGTTGCCCCAAGGTCAAACTCTCTGATGCCTTTTCTGATCACACTCTCTGGTAGATGTTTGTATTGTCCTTTGGCAAGTTCATCCAGGCATTCCTTCAGTCTGATGGCAATTGCTGGCACCATATCTTGTTTGTTTTTCCAGTTGGAGTTTGATATGAGAATGGTTTTGACCTAACAAGGATATAACATTCTTAGAGTTTGATATTATTGACATTACAACTGTGAACTGGATTATAGTGTACAGAATAGCAATTTGAGATGACTCATAATGTTAAGAATTTATACATAAACCCAGTACTGTGGGAAGTTTAAGTTTGAAGTCCAATTTGTACTTAGAAATCCAATAAAAAATTTCCAATAGTCATGTGACTTACCAAATAAGTTGAAATTGTAAAAAAATGAGTTGCATGTTAATATTTTCAAACTTTATACCTTTTCAGGGCTCCACTCTGATAAAACTTGTAACGCTTGTTCCAAGAACATCAGATGATTGGTTCCACAGCATTCCTCGCCAGCTTGGTATGGCAGAATGCCAAATGGACAGATGACTTCTCTAAAGTACTTCCTGAGATTGGTAGTTTCCTCAGGGTATTCAGCAAATTCAAGTACCTATCGATAAACATTGTTAACTTTGTAAAATAGAAATAATATAAATGGGCATTTACAACTACTTTTACCATAATTTAATTAGAAATTTTGATGGTAACAATCCAGACTTCATGATCGCATGATAAGGCCTAAATAGCATAACTCTGCAATGATAATAATATTTTTTTTTTGCAAAAGCAGGTATATCTTTTGGTATCATTGACATTTACTGGTTATACTTTTTGTGTTTTAATTAATTACTTTTAATATATTACCTTTTCTGCAGCAAATAGAGATATGCCATAGGTTTGTAGAAGCCTGTCATCACTAATCATTTGTTGCAAAAATGGCACCAAATCTGTTTGAAAGTAGTTCTCGCTATGTCTCAGTTCTTCCCCAAATTTTATCAATTGACCAATAGACTGGGATGCATTTTTCATTGCTTCATCCAGTTCCTTCTCAAATCCCCCCTGAATGTCCACAGGATTTCTTGTAACTTTCACAAATGGAATAAGGGTGGCTCTTGAAATGACACTGATAAAAGAATACAATTTTGATAATATGGTTTGTTATTGTCCTATTCTATGTTAATTTTGTAAAATGTGTTAATTACAAGGATACAGCCTTTTGCAAAAATTATGTGAATTGTCTAAATATCTAAATATCATAATATCCATATCCATATATTGTTCGGCTGTACAGCCTTTTTCAAAAATTATGAGAATTGTCGAAATATCTAAATATCATAATATCGAGTGCATGATGTGTAATCCCGCGCGATGCCCTTAGTCCCTTGTCTTTGTAGTTTAGTTTGTTTTTTGGCGACAGACTTATCCGTAGTTCTGAACATTTTCTCGGTGTCAACAATGAATTTTTCTAGCAAACCCGCGTGTTCCGGACAATATATGGATATGGATATTATGATATTTAGAAATTTAGACAATTCTCATAATTTTTGCAAAAGGCTGTATAAACAACATATATATAAATTACTAAATATCAAACATTTTGACATCATTTCAAACCCTTGTACTTGATACTTATGTAATTTTTATAGCATTTTTAAATAATTTCGCTATTTGTGGTATACAATGGCCACATAAAGACACAATCATTCAAATCTTACATAATAAATAATTAGTCATCTTACGCTCTATCAATATATAAGTCAGCCAATATCCAATCATTCATTGTGATTATTGGCGATGTTGTGCTTTTGCTAACTCTGTTACAGTTGGCAATGCCTCCCCCATTGAATATGTCCAGTAGGAGATCTACTAGCTTCTTTCGCTCTTCCGTCGTTCTCCCTGCATCATCCAGGACAAACGGCATGGTGCACTCATCAAGCACTCTTGTCTGCATGGCATCGGGTTTGTCAGGGGTGTCAGGGTTTGTCAGGGTTTGTCAGGGTTTGTCAGGCCTGTCAGGGTTGTCAGGGTTGTCAGGGGTGTCAGGCCTGTCAGGATTGTCAGGATTGTCAGGGTTGTCAGGGTTGTCAGGTCTCTCAGGGTTGTCAGGATTTTCAGGGTTTGTCAGGGTTTGTCAGGATTGTCAGGTCTGTCAGGACTGTCAGGATTGTCAGGGTTTGTCTGGGTTCGTATAGGGGTATGTCAGTGTGTGCCGCATTTCATATGACCACAAAGCGCCGAAGTTGATTATGGGTATTTCAGTATAACAAACACTGTGGCTAAAAATAACTTTATTCAAATATGGCTTTGGGCTTCCTTTGTATATGCAGCATGGTATTGAGGCAGAATCCTGCGCCATTTTGTTTTTCTTCAACAAGCAAATGCTAAAAAATAAGAAGAAATATCTGTTAGTGCTTGTCAGGGTGTCAGGACCTGACAAATTCTTATACCAAAAACTATCGATACCAAATCTTGCATGGTATCCTAAATTCCTTTGTTTCTTCTGAGATGTTTGTAAACTCATAAGCACTTAGTTCCTCTCGGATGGCCTTCGAATGCACTTTGTTGTTGACCAGCCTGCACTTTACTTCTTCAACCATCCTTGCAAGAATTTCCTTCAGCAATATCTGGTTCGTTATCTTCAAGAATATCTCTATGCTTGCAGGTCATGTCTTTTCAAACCACTTAAACTTCTACATTTCTTTGAACATAAGTTACACAAGATGTCTTCCTTCTGGATCTGTGCAAAACAACATCAACAAATGTCAAGTGATTTATAAATGACAAGAACACACAATATGCTATTACTAAAAAACGATATACCGAAGTCGCCTATATTTTGCAATTTGTGACTATTTTCGTGAGAATTCAGCGACTTATATCTACGGCAAGCTTAGCTACCGTGGTCATAGTTACGACTTCTCGATTCGAACGCAAAGTCGGTAAACCTTCCTGGATATTGCGACAGACAGTGAAATCTTTTCACTTACCTCAGTCACGGCCTCATCGAAGTATTCATTTACATTGTTGTCGTCTTCTAAAGCTTCAAGGACTGCGTCTAAATCGTCTCCAAAGAGAAAGAGATCACTATCCGACGCCATATTGTTTGTCATGGCGCCAGATGTTGTGCACGGTAAATGACACGTGACCAGTACGTTCAACCTCTAGAGCAAAACAAAAGACCGACCCTTTGATCTTTGCCGGTCTTCCTAACCATTCCCCTCTACTAACTATGCTAGAACTGAGGTCAAAAGTGTGATGAAAGATTATCCACCTTTGAAATCATTAGCACATGTAAGTAATTCTAAGAAGCTGGATTTAGTAAAGATAGAATTTTAGTAATAAAAAAATATTAAAAAAATGACAGTTTGAATATTTCTCATTTTCAGATAAAGCTGGAAATGTGATTTCGATTAATGGTATTGTACTATATACAACATATATTGTCTCACTTGTCGAGTTGCTTTTGTCCATAAATTAAATATTTTATATTTTGATATTTGTGTGACAAAGGTTTATACAGGAAAATTGTATAAAGTATTTTTTTACAACTACTTTGAAGCTGGTGAAGGCAAGACTGTTCTGGACACACACTTGTCCCATGTAAGCCACCAAATTTCCAATAAATTTTCAATATGGAAAGAAGTTAAAAATCACTAGTGATTCATCCTTCTAACTGATGAAACACCTGCACTTATCTTTGATATATTAAATCTTCGACTTTATTTGAACAATAGGATTTAGAAATTCTCACAATCCCTGAAATTAAGTACTTAGCAGCAAAATTTTTATGAAAAAAAGATTTTGATAAATCACTGTAACATTCACACCTGAGACATARACCTGAATCTATTCTCTATACTTCAACGCCAACTGTTGAAAATMTATCTACCAAATAATATTTTAACTGTTATGATAAAGTTCATTAAGATGTTCAGTGAATGGAATTGAAAAGCAATAATATGAAAAGGTTATTATTTCGTTTGAAAAGCTATATCAAACACACATGCTTCGTTTCATCAGTGGATCTAAACACCTCAAAACAATAAAAAGAAAAACTTTCATCGATTTCTTGGTGTTTGCATGGATCACATGGATCCCCTGATGAAACACTCCCACTCGTGTTTGATATAAATAATGATTGTCTTCTTTGTATAAAGGTTAAGCAGAAAACAATGGATCAATTACTTTAAATATGAATTAAGAAAAGAAATGTTGTATAATGGGATTCCTTTGTAATCACCACATGTAGTTTGGCCTCAAGTAAAAGACAACACATTTGTTCGTTTGATCTTTTCTTATTATTTTACATGTTGGCAGCGAGTTTTTCGACCAAATCATGCCTGACACAGATAAAGCTAGTCCAGGGCCGTCCAGTCATCATCAAACTCTGTATAATCTCCCTCCTCCAGAGAAATCTACCGGTTCAAACTCATCACAACAAGCCGACCTTTGGCAGAAATGGTTTCGCCGATTTGAAAGGTATCGCATCGCTTCAGGCCTGCAGAATAAATCGCAAATCGAGCAGGTTGGTACTCTTCTATACTCGATGGGGGATTGTGCTGATYATATCCTTACAACACSCAATATAGATGAAGAAAAAGCTTCCTATGACGAAGTGAAAACCGCTCTAAACAACTACTACGAGATTCGTCGCAACGTACTGGTCGAACTTGCCAAATTCAATAAAAGAATCCAAAAGCCTGGAGAACCAATCGATTCTTTTATACAGGATRTCTACAGGATTGCCGAGGACTGCGAGTATGGAACTTTGAAAAATGAACTTATTCGTGATTCGATAATTGTGGGAGTGCTAGACGATGCACTTTCAGACAGACTTTAGAGCCAGAAAAACATAGCGAAGAGAAAGCTACTGTTAAAGACATGGAGAAGCAGCGCAAAGAGCTACTTAGAGAAATTGCAAGTCTTGAAAATGAGTTGAAACTGAAAGAACAATCTGTGTCTTCAATTCAGGGACGATATATTTACAAGGTTAAAAAGAACTTAATCGACAGTAACCCAAACATGATGTACTTTGCGGAAAAAGGCCCCTAAGAGATGTTTCTCCATACTTAAGCAAGTCTCAAAAGGAAATAAGTAAATCGGTCTCCWTGGAGAAGTGGCAAAAGCTCTCACACTGGACCAGTTGGTGTTTTTTACGAAACGAGACGTCGAGGAAAGGAGTCAGAAACCGAAAACCAACAACCCAGTGGAGTCCATAAACAGGCAGTCAATAACAGAAAATAGCAAAAATCTAAACGTTCTTCTGGAGAATATTTATCTGGAAAACAGACTACATGCTGTGAAAGTCTGTGGCAACTCCAAAAACATCACAWCATCCTACACTTGTACTCCAAGAAAACGAAAGAGGTCCAGCTTGGGAAAAGGAGGCATGGAGATGGAAAGTGGTCCACCACACAAGCGAAGCCATATCGAGTCAAACTTGAAGCGTAAAAGCGGAAAGGCCCTTATCAGCTCCACAATTGAAGTAGAATATCAAGAAGAAGAGGAAGAAAGCGGACAAATGAAATATCTAGGATGCTTGAGTGSAAAGATTATAGCTTACAACAAGAGTCAAGTTGTAAAATGGGAGGAAAGTTTTAATGGKGATTTAGTTTAATAGCGATTTAGTTAAGCTAATTTAACAGTGCATATACTTTGGAGCCCTGTATGCTATAATGATTATGCATGTGTTTTGTAAACGAAACATTATGAACTAACACAATGTGTTGATGAAGTGTTTACAAACATCAGTAAATATAACGACCGTTACTTCATAGTGATGTAGAACTGCTTTGGAGTTTCTATTTTTTTTTTTCCTCCTTTTTTGCTTTTTTTAATGAACAATTTTGTATCCTTTCTTTAGTTTGCCAGAAATATATTGTGGAATTTAGCAATGGATTTTGAAGAGGTAAGTTAAATGGCAGTTCCTTAATATAGACCAGTACTTCCGACAGTATTTCATCATCATTTTTACAGAGCCATATGGAATTTTGGATGAGGAAGATAGCATATGAGCTACTGTCAAACYACTTGATGTAATGGGCGAGTTTCTTGAATAGATTCTCGGAAACAGGAAGCTGGAAAGGCAAAAAACAAAGTCTGAAGTTTTATAATCAGACGGAAGGAACCAAACAAGTACCTCTCAATTCTAGTGTAGTTTACTATGAATTCTGCAATGCTATACTGTTTAATATATTTCCTACTTTGTTGCAACATGTTTGTTTTGGTTAACTTTCCATCATGGTAATAWTTGAAGCAAAAAGGTTTGTTACTGTTTTAGAGCATTATCCTTTTTCCTTCCAACGTCACACATATGTGWCGAAAAATGGGGCTTGTGCATTTTGAGCCCGCAAACGTAATTATACTCAATATATTGAGCCCCCATCTAGGGGATTTAGGTATTTAGAGTAAATTTACATTTTTGTAGCGATTTTCACCAAAATTTCCAGTGTTTTTTTAACAGAAATTGACATTAAATCTTCAGGAAATTTTCGCGCGAACTAGATTAACAGGTGATGCAACATCGCGGCATGTTCTGCTGACGAAACGAGGAAATTGATGGCAATTTTTATGCTGAAACCGCCGATATTGCGTTCATGGACGAAGATGACTTACCTATCAACAGTCTGGCTATCAATTTTTTGAACAGGGAGAGTGATGATGAAGTAGAATTCGACTTTTGCGAGTACGAAAGCGATGAAATTGAGTCAGATGAGAGTTCAGACGAGGAAACTGTCAGAGAGAACCTCAGCCTCGGCGAAGAAAACAAGGAGCAGCAACTGCCAACAATTAATCAGTGTGGAAAGAAGATATAGTTTGTCATGACYACTTGAAATTTGAACAGTACGTCGGCCCCAAAGCAAGGTTGACAGGAAATGAGAGTCCATTGAATGTGTTTGAAATGTATTTTACAAATGAAGTTTTTGAGCTGATCACGTTTCAAACAAACTTATATGCATCACAAGAACGTGCAAAGAATCCTGACAA